TATATATATATATGCTATCTAGTGATTGCCAACCCCACCCCCAAACTTTTGAGAAAATAGATGTCATCGGCTAAAATGCGAGTAGTAGCATTGACTTGGGGTGTATGTATTTTGTTTCAAGTGAGGGAGGGTTGTGTAATTCGTCAGCCTCACCCTCCAGTCCTTGCCTATTTGATCCAATGACAAGACCTAGTCGAAACCACTGGTCCAGTGAGCACATGCTCCATTTAAGACCACGCCCTCCTCCAGTGAGCATGTGTTCCTATCCTAGACCACCACCACCATCCCCCACCCCTTTTATCTACGATTATTTCTGTTTGAACTGCATGGTTATAGAATTCTTTGTAGCTCTCTTGTTAAATAAAACACCATTGTAAGAAATCTTCTCCTTGTAGGCCTACTACTCGCTCAGTGTTGTCAATAATCTAAAGGGAGGCAATGGACACGACATATCTGATGTATTGACATTGCAATACTTGAAATGTCACTCCACGTACTTAAATGAAACCATCTAATTGAGGGGGTATCAAACTGGTGATATGTGGAGGGCCCAAGGGCCGCCACACGTCACCAGGACTTAGACGTCACCCATTGCCACACCTAATACAACTTGCCCAGCGCATCTCACAAGGATGAGTTTAGGTAACCGAGAGTTTGAGACCCGCTGATCCAGTATTACTTCCCTCGCTTACGTTAATGCATATTTTACGACGTAAAATCCAGACGTACACCTTCAGGGACAAATTAGTATTACATATAAATATATTTTTTATTGTCATTAAATAAGTATTTTTTGTTTAAAATGAACTTATTGAACTGTTTGGTTTCCAATATTTCCCCCCCCCCCCCGGCCATGAGGTTAAAGTGTGTCTACTAAAGTTATGCTTTCAGTACTTGATAGATTGGGAAAGTTTAATCGTATGTTTATTTATATCTGTTTGTACTATACTTCTATTTAGAGTTCAGATCGTAAAGGTGCATTGTTGCCTGTGGATAAGGTGGACCAGCTTTCCTTCAAGTGATGTTGCACAGTAATAAACATCCTATGCAATGATGAAAACACCCGATAGTCTGATGTTGAAATAGTGTTTATTATTATGTTTATATTTACAATTTTTTAGAACCCACAAACGAAAAAAAAAAAAAAAGAACAACTTGCACACTGTCTTACACGCATTGAAAATGTCCACTGACTCTCTCTCTCTCTCTCTCTCTCTTCTCACGCCATCCTACACTTCATCTTCTGCGCACTTTTCATTCATTAATCAAATCTATTGCTTCATGTTCATTGCAAAAAAGAAGCACCCACTAGACTACACTGTTCTCACACCATCTCTCGCTCTCTCTCTCATGCTCCAAGTCTTTCTTTCAAATGGCTTAGTTTCTCAAATCATAATTTCAGAATGATCCAAACACACAAAGCCATTGGCAGCATGTAAAAATTGACATTCTTGACTTCATACATGGATTTACAATAAACATAAGGATGAACATACAAAATGGCAGCATGTAAAAATTGACATTCTTGACTTCAAACATGGATTTACAATAAACATAAGGATGAACATACAAAATGGCAGCATGTAAAAATTGACATTCTTGACTTCATACATGGACTTACAATAAACATAAGGATGAACATACAACTGACAAAAGGATTAAAACATAAATATATTTGCATATCCATAAATACTAAGGTAGAATGGATAATTAAGGCACTCCTTATTTATTCAGTGCACAAACTTATAACTATAGAATTTATCATAATTTACTGCCAGTCTGTCCACTAAATTAATAACTACATACTTTATCATAATTTACCGCCAGTCTCTCCCCTAAATTAATAACTACATACTTTATCATAATTTACTGCCAGTCTGTCTACTAAATTAATAACTACATACTTTATCATAATTTACCGCCAGTCTCTCCACTAAATTAATAACTACATACTTTATCATAATTTACTGCCAGTCTCTCCACTAAATTAATAACTACATACTTTATCATAATTTACTGCCAGTCTGTCCACTAAATGAATAACTACATACTTTATCATAATTTACTGCCAGTCTCTCCACTAAATGAATAACTACATACTTTATCATAATTTACTGCCAGTCTCTCCACTAAATTAATAACTACATACTTTATAATTATTTACTGCCAGTCTCTCCACTAAATTAATAACTACAAACTTTATCGTAATTTACTGCCAGTCTCTCCACTAAATTAATAACTACATACTTTATCATAATTTACTGTCAGTCTGTCCGTCCCACTTAAAAGCAACTAGAATAATTTAAACACAAACAGCAGTTTCAGTAAGTCTTAGCATGACTCCTAAATCTTGAAATTTTGGTTTTATTTTTACCACAAAACTCATCAAATAAAAACAGCACTCTAAATTCTATTCTTATTCCTCCATATAATATTATAATTATAAATTATTAAAGAAATTATTTACATTACACACCTACATTGCCATTAAATAAGGAGCTTATTCATTTCAACCAGGCACTCTCACATGAGTTAACCCCTTTTTTTAATAACAATTATCTGAAGGGCTAGTTTATGAACGCCTTGTCCGTTCATTGAGATGTGCTTCTCAGCCATATTTTCACAAATATTTTACATCTCCCAAATAAACACTCATGGATAAGGTGCACAAAACAAAATGTGGTCACTGACAGTAGATGAGACAAAAGTGGGGAGGGTTGGAGAGACAGGATCAGCATATGAGGAGATCTCTGGTTAGCAGTCAAGTGCTTAGGGGATTGGGGGGAGTGGGGGTGTGACGGGCAAACATGGCAATGTAACAGACAATTATCTGTCTTGTTACAACAACATCTAATTCCACTACCAGAAATTCCAACATTAATATCATAACTCTGTCAGTTTTACAATCCAATTAAAAGAAGGTTTTTGAAGAGGAAGACCCAAGTAGACTTTTTATCTAATAAGCTCGTGTTTGCATGATGGATCCACACAATTAAAGTTTTTCACATACACCAACCAACCACAAACAATCACTAATTTCACCAAGTTTATTCTCTCCACCTGTGGCCACATGCCATGTTGCAGCATTTGTAAAATGTTGTCATAGGTTCATCAGCAGATCTGGTCTGAATCTGCATGAAGAAAGCTCTTTTGTGATCACATTTGGGACAAGTCACTGGAAATAGAAGAGAAGAACATTTGCATTAAGCATCATCAAATCTAGTTAATCTTAAATTCATGAAATATAACATGCATGGTAAGGGGAAACCTTAAGAAAGACACAACCAAAAAAAAAATGGATGTTTCTGCTGAGAGACTTCAATCAGTGCTGCATTAACCTAATGGCAAATTAAACCACAAGGGAACCATTTTTTTTTGGGGGGAGGGGGTGACTTGATTTGCTTGGGGAGGGTTGGAGAGACAGGATCATCAGAAAATCTTGAAAATACTTGTCATGAAATGTAATGTAGAGTGCTGTTGGTTAACTCAGAAATCTCCATACATTTCAAGTTATAGCATTAGGGGGAGAAAAGAAAAATTAGGGGAAACAACACATGTTGTAAACTTTCCCTAAGACAGGGATCATCAAAGGGAAGATGTTGAGACACTTTTGATGAAAACTGGGCTGATTACAGAGAGAATAAAACACTGCTGAGCATGGAAGAATCCAACAGAAAATTGTCTCCAGGGAAGCATCTCATGAAATCTAAAAAACTTTTAGTTTAGTTTTTACTTTAAAATTATCTGTAATCTTTTTTCACAATGCTAAGGAAGCCAATAAATGACAACAATCCCCTCATCTCCTCCACCACCCTGTCCCCCCCACCCCAAAAACCAACCAATCCAAAAAATTAGATTAATCATAAAAACAAAATCCTTTCTTTGATTTGTTTTGTACTCAAAAATATGTTGACAAATGCATTCCTACTCACCTTCTGTTGAATCTACATTCTCCCAGGCTGCAGCCCCTCCCAAGACATCATCAACTTCTTTTAATTTTGGATAGACTTTGTGGGAGATCTGAAATGTCATAAAATGCAAAAATTACAGGTAACTATGGAATAGAATTGTAATTTTCTGGCTGAATAGTGACTGGTACATCGAAACAGCGTTCACTGTTAATTTTTATCAAAGTAAAGGAAATCTCAAATAAAACAATAAAGATATATTTTGGTCCAGTACTTACCAAATAACTTAAGTTTTTTTTAAATGTTAGACACAGTGACTTCATTGAGAAATCGGTAGAAATTAATCAGTAGTCCATAAAAAAAAATTGTCACAATAAATTTGTTCCATGTCCATACCTGCCATGGTTTCGGTAGAAACGTACTGGTATCTGTCTTGTTTAGTATGACAATATGACAGTTTTTAAGACGTTTTTAAACCTGATTTTGCTAGGAAGTACTTTCTAGTTTTATTTCTAACATTTAGACTCTAAAATTCAAGTTTCATTAGAGGTAAGTAATAAATTACAACTCAAAGTTAAATAATATAATCATTAATCATTCCTTATTAGTAGACGTTACAGATGTAGAGAAGTGGCTCATTACATTGCACACTTTCAACTAACACAATCACAGACCTAGTTAAAATTAAACGTTAATAGTAATACTATTAGTATTTATTAATTAGATAAAACTGTGATCTGAGCATGTGTGACGCTGTGTATTGTTTTTGTGTGAAATCATAACCTATCACAGTAGCAACTGAAATCGCCTAACATCAGTATCCACAATAAATTTTGTAAAAAGGAATGTAAAAAGGGAAGGAAACATAAATATCATAATAATAATAAAGGCACTTAAGTCAGATCACAGCTGTCAAAGGCAAGCATATCCCCAAAAATTACAGGCCTAACTTTGATTTTCAGAATCAAAGCTTTTAAACCAGGGTTCCCCTACCTTTTCTGTACTCCACACACCCTACACATTTTTTAACTATTCTCCTTCCCCTACCAGGATCCATTCTTTGACTATTAAGTATTAAGTCTTGTATTTGTATCCCTAAAAAAGTGACTATGCCATAATCATAGTCATAGTGCATTTTAATTTTAAAATCTAAACAAAGTCAAAGGTCAAAGGGATTTTCTAAACTTTTTATTTAAATACAAAGTAACAAAGAATATAAAGTGAAACTTATTTTTTTAAAAATTAAAGTAGACACTTAATTACTTAATCATATAGACATAGATATGACTGATAAGTTATAGTTATAATTATAAGATTATAAATATTATTACACCAATTCATCATCAAATAAAATGTACTAATAATACCATAATCAATAATCTAATAAATAATACTTTTTAGTTATGCCCCATATAATCATATAATCTAAAAGTATACTCAGTATACTAATAATAATAACTGTACTACAGTACAGACTACAAACTACACTCTGTTACTCTGTTGTTAAAGGTAGCGAGCAGCAATGAGTTACCTTTCTCGTAATGTTTTGAACATAAGGGCATGTGTTACAAGCGAATCTCATGCACTCTTGTCCCTCTTCTACGATTAAGACATTTGAACAAACAGGGCAAAATGCTAACATTGTCGTCCGGTAATACACCAAACTGAACAGAAAACGTCTCTATTCGGTTTGTTGTGTTCACTCGAGACGGAAACGAAAGTGGTTATCAAATATTTTAAGGCTGCATCCGGGTACCTATCATCGCCAATGACAATTCGCACCCGGAGTGGCTCCGTACATATTAAATGGCTTCGAAGCCGAATGTGATAACAATAATAGTATGAGAATTATTTTTTGAAATTGTTTTTTCTCCTTGTTTATTTGATTGATTCATAGTTTTATTATTTTTAGTTGTTTTTTTTAAATCGAGTAATGAAGATGATTTAGATACATTTATTGTTTTTATTTGAATTTTAGAAAAGTAATAATATTAATTTAATTATTAAAATTAAATCCTTTATTTAAGATTATTTATGTGTATTGTTAAGTTAAAAGATTTAATCACACAGTACTTTATGAATTAATTAGGTATTCTTAATAATGAAAATTTCATTCATAATGAATTAATTTCAACTATTCCTCTAGAGAGCTTGGCTTAGTCAGAGCAAAACTACCAATTTTAAACCTTGTCCTTGGCACTGGGAGTCATACATGCGGACACTGACTGTTTTTCCTGATATCTTAAATCTCCATTCAACAACCTTTCACATTTGACTTGACCTAATTCACAAGGTAGTTGCAATGAACATCTTAAAGTTATAGGATGCCATTGTATAAAGTATGAGAAGGAGACTTATTTTTGGAAGACAAGTCTTTTTTTTTTTTTACCATATCTGTCTACTGAGTCTAACACACTGGTACATAATTTAATAGAAAAAAAGAACCCTTAACTGACTTGAGAACATTTTTGTTTGGTTGTTATTTGAGTTGTGTACTCAAGTAATCCATAAAATAAATTAGGGGCCAGTATGGAGTAGGCAGCCAATAAACTCATTCAATTAGGTCACATCATTCCTTTGCCATTTGTCTCCTTTTACTTTCTCACCTTCCTTGTTGGTACCCATACAGTTAACTATTGTTTGTATCATTTCTTCATTTAAGTACAGACGTAATGATTGAGCAAATATATGTGATCTGTGAAGGGAGTTTAGTTTCAAGGCAACTAAGTCATGCCACATTGAAAATAAAATACTGATAACCTAAATAAATAGAGCCATTGAAAAAAGTATAGTACATACAAACCATACACAAACAGAAAGACAAAAATCCACTAAAGTTAATTTTTTAAAAATTTGTTGTGACTTTTATTGCAAAAAATTAAACATTGAATATCAATTTTGACTTTTACGCAAAATGAATAAAGACAAATACGCAAAATGAATAAAGACAAATTTGTATTGCATTGTATCTTATTGTACAGTATTGTAAATGAAACTTGGCATACACATTAAGAATAACATTGACAAAAAGTTTAAAGAAGCTTATTACACAGCAGTTATTGGAAGTGTTACAAATAACATGTATGTGGGGGTCACATAAATATTCAAAAACTCTTCAGGGGTAGCAAATCCTGAAGTGTCAAAGTGTCCTCTTTTTATAGCCATTTTCATTGTTTCTATAGAATAGTAGTTACTATCCTAGTGTCTCATTTCTATTTACTTAGTTTACATGTTTTAATAATTGTAAAGCGCTTAGAGCTTTATGATAAGCGCTATATAAAAATGCCTAAATAAATAAATAAATAAATGTAAAAATGTTATAAAACTTTTCTAGTTGGATAAAAAAAAAAAAAACATCAATCATTATGTAAAGAATATAATAGAAACAACCTTGCAAATTTTGAAGCATGTGGTAATAATAATTTTCCTCATAATACATTTGACGTCAGAGATAAATGGAAAATCCTAAGTGGATCATTTTAAAAAGAGAAAAAAATTCAATTAAGCAATATTAGAAATATAGGAGTTAAATAAAATTTAAAGCATATCAATGTGAAATTATCAGGCAAAGGTGAAAAAAAAATATTTTACAAAAATAGTTTCAGCAAGGCATATTCACACATTCTCAAAGCTAAGAATTTTCTAGATATCTACAAATTTTACACAATATTGTAGAACATGTTAATGTTTTTAATAAGAAATCAATAGACGCAAGTTTAGGAAACAAAAATCTGCCCAAGAAATATAATAAAAATGGTTATTTACACAATTTTGAAAAATAATTTGCAGCACATTTTGAAAACATTCACATATTTATAAAATTAGCTGAAAATCTTTCGGAACCAGTCATTGCTAATATTATTAGCAGTGAAAATAAATTTACAAAAACAAGTCAAGAATGACGAATAACTCAGCAAGGCATCTTCACAATAATGTAGCAATTAAATATTTTTTTAAAGTCATTAAAAAAACCTACTAAGTAAGGTTACTACTTACAATTTAAATTAATATAGTTATCAAATAATTTTACAGTCAAGTATAAGGAGCAGTGATTCAATATTTAGTCTCAATCATGTATTATTTATTACCAGTAACAAGCAACAAAAATGTTTAAGAACTAAATATTCATTGCGTTATTCATAAGGATAATCTATTTTAGAAGTTCCTCAAAATGGACCATATCATAAAAGTGGTAATCAAAATGGTGATCTTCATTAAGTTGAACGGGCTGAATAAGCATCAGTTCCAATAATTCAATTCATTTCTCCTCCATTTTGACAATCATCCCTTGTATTTCTTTGGTAGATGCTGATTAAATGTTTAGCACATCCACCAGATGTCCTGACATTTTTGGCCTCCTATTTTCAGGGTAGAATCTTGAAAACTGGAGAGAAAAAAATATAATACGAGGCACTCAAAAACCATTTTCAAAAACGTGTATTTTGCTTTTTAAAACATGACACTCGGAAAGAGCTTGTTATTCTGAGTTGTTTGGTACAAAAATGAAGTAAATCGGACAGTTATTAAGGAAATTATGGGATTTTGAATTTTGCAAAAAACGCCCTGCGTTTTAGGAAAAACGTGAAAGTTAAAATAGTCAAGTTTGGGCCACCATAGCATCAAAAGTAGTAATCCCACATGTACATTAACGTCTGAGCACATTCAAAACATTCCAAAATAAAATGAGTAAAACAGAGTATGGTTAAACCTGAAAAATTAAACGTAACAAAACAGCGAACGTGTCGGCAGAAAGCCTTCGTCAGCGAACAAAACAACAGAAAAAACGTTATAAAAATAAGAAATAGCACTTAGCTGGTAAGTAGTATCTGTGGGCAGCAATAGAAGTTGCACACTTCTATTGCTGCCCACAGATACTACTTACCAGCTAAGTGCTATTTCTTATTTTTATAACGTTCTTTCTGTTGTTTTGTTCGCTGACGAAGGCTTTCTGCCGACACGTTCGCTGTTTTGTTACGTTTAATTTTTCAGGTTTAACCATACTCAGTTTTACTCATTTTATTTTGTACTAACCTGATTGCAGTCTCTCCCCTTATTACCCCTTCAAAACATTCCAAATTGTTTGCCTATTTTTTTTAAACATTGTAACTTTAACGGATATTCTGCTATACTCTAAAAATCTGCCACGGGCGCAATTTTGCTATTTATAGCAATGTGTGCGGAAAATTCCAATTTATCACACTAAAATAAGCATAACTTTGCTATTTTTTTATCTGATTTAGATACCAAATTGCTCAGTAAAACAAGGTCTTTCCTCTGAATTAACAAACTATTTAACAATACATTAAAGTTGAACCACAAATAGGACAAAAGAGCAACAAAAAAAAATTATTTATATATATATTTAAGTGATTTATTAAGCTCAGCGCTTCTTCTATGGAGCAGAGTGCAAAAATATTGTGCTAGAAGTTATTAATCCCTCTTATGACTAAGAACATACATTTAATTTGTTTCAAAGAGGGGATTTTAAGTTTAAGGTTTTATTTAAAGAAGGTGAATAAAGAAAAGTAAACCACAGCACCGAAGTACTCGGAAGAACTTGGAAAGTTTCTCGGTTTGCAACAAATGTGTATAAGTGTACACTGTAAGCCAGATGGCTCAATTAATTAAATTTTAGGTGTGTTAGTGTTACACATAAAATATAATAAGAGCTGTACAGTCATAATATTGGTTACAAAAAAAGGAGCCTACTCAGCACATAATGTGCAGGTAATCATGATACCAATTCACATTCGATATTGTTCCTACAAGTAATGTAAAGTAAGAAAACAACAAGTTAAAAAATCAGTTAATATCTAACTACATGCATAAGTATAACAATAAAGTGCAGAAAATGTAAAAATGACAAAAGTAAGGTGACAATAAAGTTCAATACATTAACATCAGTAGAGGTATGTAACCAAAGTAACACGGTGTAGTATTAAGTTACTGTCACAGGGTGATTATGACCACCCAGAAAAACATTTCATACTATTTTTAGGTTTGAGGAATAGAGAATATTATATTAATATCAATATCAAGGAACATTTTCAATCATGCAGGCTGCATTACCGTAGGTGATCTTTCACTCTCTCAGTAAGATCAAACAACTTCCCTTTAAGAGTCAAGCCCTTGCATTGCTTAATGCTTTTTTGATAGCGCAGCTCATCTTTAATAACTTCAGCAATGGCGCCCTCTTTCTTTCCTTGCTGCTGCATCATTCGCACTAGCATATCAACATCAGAAACTGAGTGACATGGCCCGCCATAATCTTCAACCCGTCTCATTATCTCCGCCCCCACACTTATCTCCTTAATTTTCCGCTGGATTTTCTTCTCCAGATTTTCCACCATTTTCTCCCTTATTTTATTTTTTATCCTTTTTTCTTTAGATGCTTCTTGTTTTAATAATTCCCTGCTCTTCCTCCTGGCAATGGAAAAAAGCATCTCTCTTGAGGACTTTGATTTTGAAGCCAAAAAACTGGCTGTTTTGTTCCTATTAAAGGCATGAGAAGCTGAGCGACTGAACATTTTTCTATTTGGTTTTCGCTGAAGGTCTAAGTCTAGATCACCGAAAGCACTCTCCCTCACCAAGTTTGTCAATGGACAGTGTCTCAGTTGCTCAAACTCCGCGCTGTCAGTGTTGATGCTAGAGGAAAATGGCCCTATTAAAAAATCATTCAATTGACGCTCTGTCACAAGGACACATTCAGCAGCCAAAGCCATCAAGTCAAGCACTTGGAAATTAGGGATGAATT